TGATATACAGAATTTCAACATGTTGGGTCTTGTCAAAGACTGTGTCTCTTGAGCTTACGGTTTTGGGCTTTTTTTAAATGGCAGAATGTAAACATGACAGTTGTGTTTCCATGGGGTTCATCTGGATTTCTACTGCATTCAATGTGATCTTTGGGAAACTATAAATAGAATTATTCGTCACACTTGACAACAGAGACAAAGCTCTGACTTTAGATGTTATCTAGATTTTTACATAAATTATTTACATATTGTTTAATGTTACAGAAAAAAAAAAAAAAAACATGCAACAAAGCACATAGACTTCATGGCCAGTGGCATATCTGTTACTTAAATAAGATAAGGTTACTTCATACCATATGCCTAGTCACACTTTAAACTGATTCTGGATCATCCTGGGTGATCATTCTGGATCATCCAACCATTTACAATTTCCTACTAACATTCATTGGTACATTTAACATTTAGTAAAGGCAAATTTAAAAATAAATTGAATGAATTAAATTCAAAGAATAGGGAATGAAATGAATTTTGTAAATAATTTCTGAAAACGAGTGTACCAGCCAGGATTTGTACTCAATTTAACAATGTACTAAATAAAAACAAAAACAACGGAAGAAAGAAGAACAAGAAAAAGAAAAAACTATAAAAAAGGAAGAAAGAAGAAAAAAAACTACATAAAATAGCAATACTAGCATAAATAATAGCACATTACATTTTTTTTAGTTAAACCACTGTCTACACATAATGACCGCGGCTGTAATGTTGATTTTAAGAAGTGACAGTTTCTAGTTTTGGAAACATTTTTAAATATATATTGTATAATAAAATATTCAAGCCGAGTTATTTGTTAAATATACAAAGAAATAGGTATATAGAGATGCACACAATTCCAACAAAATACCGCAAGCAAAAAGAGGAAACAAAATGATCAGTGATCAGATTTTTTAATCCCTTTATACAATTAACTATGTATAGCCTATAATCTCTAAAAATGTATATCATGGCTAAAAAAGAAGAGGAAAAAAGTTTACCCCTACGATTTTTAAATAACCTGTCTAGACTTTGTTTAAAAATTAATTTGTCAGTTATCACCAATTCCAATTTGACAGGTTCTAAATGTCAACGAATTAGTACAGGGTCTTTGTGCTCAGTGTAAATCTAGTCACATGCTCATTGTAAAGCCCTTCCCCACCCACTCACACAACATGCACATTTCAAAAACCTCTCATGGATTATAAGGTTTTTCAAAAATGACTGTATTTAAAATAGTTCTGCATCTCTCACAATCTCTGAAAAAATGAACAGACAAAGGTAACAAAATATTAAAATATTTTCCATTAGCTGTCACATCACTGCTTGAGAATAAGCAGTCATATTGGGTAATAAAAAAAAATCTTTAAAAAAGGAAAACTATTTATGTAATCAAAATGCCTTTATAGCATTGAAACTGTTAACCCTCTTGATTGACAGTTTTTTTTTTTTTTTTTAGAAATCTCATTTATAAGCATTAGTTTCCCATCATAGGTTATTTTCAAATATTCTGCACAAACACACAAAAAATGACACCCAGTTTGTATCTAGGGCTAATGGGAAGACTTGAGTGAAAACAAACTCAACAGCCACTGCTGCATCAAGAGAATGGATGGCATGGACATTCAAACCACCACCTTCTTGAGGTCTGTAGAAATCATGGTCCCTGTTTTGCTGATAGTGGTAAATATGTCCATCAGCTGTTTCAGACAGGTACAGTGTGGGTTTTTCAGACAATGGTCATTAAGCAGGAACTTTATTACGTCTATAAAGTCAGAAGCACACCACGAAAAATATCCTTGAATTTAAAAACATTACGCAGATAGGCCCATGCTCCTATTCTGATTACAAAAAAAAAAAATATATATATAGCATGATCCACTGAATGACCATGACTGTTACAGCAACCCACATTGATGTTTTATGAAGATCCCCACTGTGCTTTGGAATATCTACATATCTACAGTATAAAGTGCAGCACATCAGAACAGCTAGATGAATGGTTAATCCAATCGGATTTGGAGGATTCTGACATGGCGTGAGATAAAATACAATTTGCATTGGGATCTAGTTGCATTTTACCTCCAAATACTGCATTAGATTTGCAGATTAAATGTAACAAAATAGCTTAGTGCACCACAGGTGAAAATACCTGTGTGATTTAGTCATTTCAGAAGCATCTGTGTATAGACAGTATATGTTTTTTTCTATGGAAAAAACAAAGGGAAAAGCAGAGTTGAAGCTCTGATAGTGCAAATCAGCAATTCAACTGATATCACCTGGATAAGGCTTTCAGTTAAGTTTTTTAACGTTCGGATAGTGACTTGGAATAAAAAATTAAAAAATCTCCCTGGTGGTTTTCCCTTCGTTCACAAAACACAATACACAGCTGATTCTAATACACATAAAGCCCTTCATAAACATTACAAAGCAGTCACGAAAATGAAAAACAAAAGATGCCATCGTGAAATAAACAACATAAAAATCAGGAATAGGTACTGAGCAGCGTGGCATATGACAAGGCTGGAACCCAGCCTTCTTATTTGAACCTCTCCTGCTCAATCTTTCCATGTGTCAAACTGACGGGGATCAGGTGGAAGGTAAAGGGAGTCTGGGGCGAACCCTTGTTCTATGCAAGATGACACTCTCGAGATCCAGTTTCACTTACTCAGAGCCCTGAAACTTTAACTAGCCCAAAGTCACACAAGATAACAAGTGTCTGAGTATATATTTGCTTTCATATGACTTAGCACTCAAGGTATTACTTTAGTGCCGAGTCTGATAAACCAGAGCATGGAAAACACAGATATCCTGGTCTAGGTTGGTCTATCTATGTTGTCCTCCTAAACAGTGGGTTGCCGCTAATTACGAATACAAGGCCTCTCTTGCTAAAGACGATTTCCCTTTTTGGTCACATGTACAGTGCTCTAAATAATTCCAAGTCTAACTGTTGTCATCTTTACAATACAAAATGAATGTTTACTCATTTTTAGAGCCGTAACTTGATCTGGATTATGTCCTCTCCTCGCCACCTATTCCTAGCATAGCCCCTAGCATATTTTTCCATTCCAGAAAAAGAAAGTGAAAAGCCACTTCATAATTGAAAGAAATGGGTTTAAAGTTCAGTCCTTGTGTGCCAGCGAAACAAGGGGTAACATATCCTTTACATCTCTTCACCATCAGGTGGTCACATGCCTCTAATCGTTTATAGTCTCGTGGCCCTGGCACTAGGACCTGTGTAAAATATAGAGTTACAAACTCCTGCACAATTCACAAATACTCAGAAAGGCCATTAGACATCCAACGTGCTAAAAGGTGGAGCTGAAAGATAGGAACAATAAATAAAAGAGAAATATTCTTAAATGATTACTGGATTACCAAATGTAACAGCTAAATATAGAGGCTAGTGAGTGAATAAGACTTAAATCTAAATGCACTGCGCTATGTACAACATAAACACATACCATACATTTTTTGGGTCTTTAATCCATCATGTCTCATTTTGACGAGTGCTTTAGAGAGGAGAAAAAGACAAATTAATAATAGCATATCAGGGACGCTTGACTCTAACAGACATTGTTTTAATTTGAGAAAATGTAATTATCATGGGAACCTGAAGCATTCATTTTCCTTGCGCTTCACAACTATCTATTTTTAAACTGATTTCCTCTTGAAAGCACATGGCAGACATAAAGGATTTTGAGATTTCAGCCATGAAAGAATTTGAACAAAGAGTCCCTTTTCAAAGCATGCCCCTTCCAAACAAACATATACATTTATATATGTACACCTACACAAATGAAATAAACTGTCATTAGAATTAGAGTTAATAATCTGTAAAATGCCTTGACTTTCAGATCAATCAAAAAAAGACAGCCTGTTTACCATTTATAAATACTGACCGCAATACAAGTCCCACATGCAGCTGTCCAAATGAAGGAGGAGAGGAGGCCTCCTTTTCGTCAGTGGATGTTGAGAGTTCATACAAGAGCACAAAATAAGTCCACCAAATGAAGTCAAACCAAACACATAATTAGTAAAAAATAATACAATTCTTGGTTTTAGTTTAGTGGATACAGATTTAGATTAAAATCTGTATGACAAATTGTGAGTGGACTCCGTGAGTTCTTAAACTATAAGTTATATTTCAATATATATGTTTCCTATTAAACTAATTGAACTTTTGTTCCATTGAACCTCCTAATTAGTACCAGAAATGTAACCATTTAAGAAACAAAGAATGATGCATTTGCTCGTGTGGACTGTGTCTCTCTCTCATTCTGACACAGTGCTTCAGTGAAAAGGTGACGTGAAATCTGGGTTTGGGGCAAAGGAATTAAATATGGTTATAAAGATGTCTAAAGGCCTTTTCTGTTCTTCTTTATCCATCTTGGTTATATTTCACTTTACTTTCTTCACTTCAGGCCATCAGAAGGAGATGATGTGTCCTGTATCTTCTTCGTTATGTTGATTTCCTCCATTCTTTTCCACTGACAGATTGTGTCTGTCTTTTAACTTCAAAATGTCGGTTCAAAAAATTCAAAAACTCTTCATAGAGATGAGCAGTTGTCTCTTGTTTTGCTAAGGTTTCCAATTGTCCTAATTCATTTTCCTGATTCCATGGGTGAATCACACTAAGTCAGCTAAAGATTTTCTTCTTTTTTTCTCCTTCTTTTTTTTTTTTTTTGTAATTGGAGCACCGGATTTGGAGGAATTTCCTTAAGATCATGTATCTTCTGAATCATATGTATATGATGTAACAAAATCACTACATAGTGATGTCTCAATTAAATTATAAACTAAATTATTTTTAATGAACTATAACAACATTTAAAAATTTACTTTATATACCTATATATATATATATATATATATATATATATATATATATATCGTATGTATCCCTAATTATATTTCCTTTTGTATTTAAATGTGATCCTGTCAAACAGTCAATTTATATAATTAAAAACAATTATACATGTCTGTTTCATTATTAGTTATGAATCATATCTAACTGTATGTACTTCTAGCAATATTCCAGCGTATTATTACAATTGCGCTTCTACAGTTAGGTACAAATACTGATAGAACGTCATTTTAACAAACAGGTTCAAGTACTTAAAGCAAAAACTTGAGACTGTAATCTAAATGTATAAGCAAGTTCTTAGCCAGACATTTATCATTTGATACCTTTAGAGGAATTATTACTAATTTTTCAAGGAGCATATTAGAAAGTCTGAAATTACATTTTTCCCATGTGGAAATTTTTAGTATTTTCAGGTTAATTAAAACTGCCTTTAAAGACCATTTCGGTCTGCACATGGGCAGCCTGTTATAAAGTCCTAGAAATGTTGTTTTTCCCTCTAAATACTCTAGCAGCTACAGTGCCACATTCTGAAAAAACAACAGACACTAAAGTGAGACCCCTTTTTTTTTCATAAAGTGCCCTAAAGTTTGTGCAGTTTTCTTTTCAACTCAGCATGAGTAAATATGCTTTCACTGTCAGTGATGCTGACAGAAATGAAAGGGCCTGGAACAATTTGGGTCCCTATTTTATATAATCTGAAACTGCTTCCCTCTTTTCCAGTCCCTGTCCATTCAGCGCCACCGTTTACAGTACTGCATATGGAAATAAATTAAGTAACCTAAACAAGCGTCTACTACTTTTATTCTAGTTTGTTCACTTACATGCCTTTTTTTATTAATTGTTGTTAAAATAAATTAAATCCTATGAGAGCATTTTCATTAAGCGGAATAGAACTGAAGTTTTTTTCGTCCCTTTATAGTAGATATATTAGGTGTTTTTTTTTAGTTGCCAAATTTGATGGAGATATTCAAATTCCTTACGTTTATGTAGGTTTGGTGTCTAATTTTAAGGGAAGGTGTTTCTGATGCTCCTCGACTAAACGACATCAGACTCCACGACACACTGCTCTGTGTACTCCTTCACCAGCTCCACTTTAAGGGTTTCCCTAAAAAAATCAGCCATAGGCTTCCACAGCGCAGGCTCTAGGAACACCTGACACATAACGTGACCCTTCAGAGTGCCAGTGTGGCACCTCAGGTGGCACAACAGCTGTTGTATGGCCAGCGTCAGGTCTTTACCAAACATGTCGATGTTGAGGTAGCACCAGTCATCACCGATTGGCACACGGAATGGGAAGGTGCACAAGCTGGCCATGGTTGGGCGCCTGGCATCATCAACCATCCAATCAATATCCTTCTTCAGCAGGATGGCCATGTTGCTAGGCAGAGGCTTGAAGGGCTGCCAATCTTGAACGATGGTGGCATTGGGAAGGACACCATGCATTAGAACACCGCTTAGGAAGAGCTGATGCACTTCTGCTGGCTCCAAACGGACCGGGAAGTTTGTGGTGGACAGACCCTCCCCTGCTACAGTGATATTAGGCCCAAGATCAGCAAGGCATAATTTTAGGTCTTCAGCACGGAAGCGCACCAGGAGGATTCCCTTCATATTTTAATTAGGTGGCAGAATGAAGACAATGTGGCTTTAGCTGTTTTAATTCAAGATCTGAACAAAATGTTCATATTTTATTGTAAATGGTTCTTACCTGTTTGGTGATGAGCCGGTACTTCTGGAAGTCTTTTGGCCCCAGCTGGTCATCTCTTGTCAGCCTGCTGACTTTAACGTCAGGGTACTTGGACTTAACCAATTGAGAGCAAAACCGAAGAAGTACCCCTGCCACACCTTTCCCCCTCTCCTGGGGGGCAACACGAAGCCCTTCCACCAGCATGGTCTCGCCATCATCAATAACACACACTGACTCCAGTGCAATCTGGAAAATGTAGTTGCATAAAAAGCGAATTATTTCTAAGATAGAAAGAGAGTTTCATGGAGCTCTTTTGTAATTTCTGTCAGTTTCATTTTGGGCTGCACAATTAATCAAAATAAAACTGATATCGTGATATGGCTTAGTGCGTTTATCACATCACAAAATTGTGTTCATTTACACCTATGCACGATCTGGTATTCTCAGTGTCTCGATTTTTTTCAAGTGCAAGTCACTCACTACGTGCATTTGCCAAACGTGCACCAGGTTCACTTTTTCACATTTGCATAATTTCCAATATGTTTGTGGACAGAAGTATTCTGCATTTTGGTAGTTTTGTAATGATCAACCTAAAAACTTACCTAGAAACTTAAATAATCATTTTGAAATGATCAAACTAAACACAGAAACTTAAAAGTCTCTCAGTAGTTTTCTGCCAAAATAAAAGCTTGATGGTTCACCCTTGAAAGTAAAGAAATTAAGACACAAATATTATTCATGAATAAAAATAAATAAATATGACCATTCCTTTTTTTTTTTTACAGTACATTTGTAATAGTACAAAAGTAATATATTTGTCTTTATTTTTATATAACTGTAAAAAATTAGTTATAATTTTTTTTTTATCTAATTATAAAAACATGTTATATTTTTATTATAGGTATTATTATTATTATTAAAGTCCTAGTACAACATCAGTGCAAAGCCATTTTAAACTTTTTTTTATTTATTTTTTACATTTTTAACATTCTTAAGCCATTTGAAAGAGGTGTGAGTTGGTTTATGTAAAGAGTGTTCCTAAGACGGTGTGATGTCTTTGCTCTTTTGCATGATGTGGACAGGATATTGTTCAAATATCCTGTATGTTCTTTACATGGTTTGCCCAAAATAAAGTCACATGGACTTTATTTACATTTGATTTTCATTTTTGGTAAAGTATAACTTAAAAGCAATGAGGATGGAACATGCATTACAATAAGCTCCTCATATCCACTTTCTTACCACTTTGCCTTGCTTACGAGCCAAAATGACAGTGCGGTTGCTCTCTTGCAGCCAGGCTTGATAGCGGGAGGGCAGATAGTCCAGGCCGCCATAGATATCCTTGCTCATGGCCATGATGTCATCAAAGTCCTCCTCCGTTGCCACTGTAAAATGCAGCCCGGTCTGAGGAGGGGCCTCAGGGAGCTGAGAGCAAGGCAGGCTGTTTTCAATCTTCATCCTTAGCGCTGCAGCACAGTCAATCATGGAAAGAGATTTACATTGAGATTTCAACTTGATCTGTGACCCAAAAAGCACCCTTTGTAGACGTTATTTCCTGCACGATTTTATCGGAACATTATCGGAATTGGACGATAAAGGCTTAAAATGTAAACATCGGCATCAGCCGATTTGAAAAAAATTATGTCGATATGCCCTGCTGATAAGAAAAATAACTTACACATGCTCAGGGTGTGCTAGCGATAAGATCACACCAGCAGTGTGGTCAGTCTTGAAGCGAACTTTTGCATGAATGGTGATTACATTCACTGTTTTGGATCGCAGCATTTGAGAAAGTATGTAAAGAATGACACCTCTGATGTGTGATAGATTAATGCTTTATTGGGTGACTGCTCTGCACGCTTAAAAAACAAACTCCAGCTCGTCCAAAATGCAGCAGCTAGAGTTCTTACTAGAACCAGGAAGTTAACCATATTAGCCCGGTTCCCTTTCAGTCGGTCACTCTCAACGTCACGTCGGTGACCGACGAATTGGGATCTCGCTTAGAGAGACCAATCCACTTCGAGTGTAAACTAAATGAGCCAATGCACATTGGCATGCGATGATTACATCCAGCTGCCGCTCATCACAGCATGAGCATAAAAAGGCAGCTGGTGCAACGCATACCAGCTTTCCGCTTCGGAGCCGAGCGATCACATCGTTTTGCTCCTGACTACTCTACTGAGAGAAGAAGACTGAACGAGTTCAGCGCGCTCTTTGGAGCTCTTGGTGTTGGCGGTACGGCGCTTCAGCGGTAGTGGTTTGCCGTGTCTGAGGGTAACAGTGATGGCAAACCCTCCAGGGAACCAACCCTCGGTGGACCATCGCTCTTCTTGCACTCCGTAACCAGTTGAGCTGCCAAAGGAACGTGTTGGGCCCTCTACAAGGAGAGTACCAGCAGTATCGGATGTCGATCGCTGCATCGGAGGGTGAGCCGGAGCTTTCTGGAGAGGAAGATTCGGCTGTGCTGCTGCCCTCTGGGACTGTAGCAATGCCTGAATCGGATCCGGAAATGACGGCTATGCTTTCCCGGGCCGCCGTGAGGGTAGGGCTCGAGTGGAAATCTCCACCGTGTCCCGAGCCCTCATGGTTGGACGGTTGGTTCTTCGGGGGGGCTGGTTCTCAGTGCCCTGCACGGGTGCCATTCTTCCCGGAGGTGCATGAGGGGGCTTACCAGGTTTTTTCTGCCGGAAACCGACCTGCTAACTCTTCCTCCCTCAACGCTCTTGACGGTGGTGCAGCTAGGCGGTATACGGGGGTCCCCCCGGTGGAGCGGTCGATTGCGAAGCAGTTGTGTCCTGATACCGCCTCCACCTGGCAGGCAAACCATGCCTCCCCTCCCGGGTCTGTAGGTACTCGTCTGGTCTGTCCGGCGATGCTTATGTGGCCTGTGGAGAAGCTGCCTCCGTCTTACACGCTACTGTGTTACTGCAGGTTCTTCAGGCTAAAGCACTGAGGGACCTGCACAAGGGTGGACAGTTCCCGGCTGCACAGGAGCAGACTGAGGCGATCCAACATGTCCTGCCCCGGCGGGCAGCTGCTGCCTCCACCCGTCCGCAGCGCCCCAGCCTGCTCATCGCCGAGGGTGGCCCCCTGCGTCCACCCCCGCTCCTGCGCCGCATCCGCAGCAGCCTCGAGCAAGTGGCGCCGTGGAGCTAGGCGTAGGCAGGCCGCCCCGCCCGTCCAGGCCCCTTCAAACATGGCGGTGAGTGGAAGAGCAAGAGGCCTCGGGACGGGCAACCCCGGGAGAGAGGGAACTGCTCTTTGGGGGATGGTGAATGCACCTCTCCCTCCCCCTTGTACGGTGTCTGGGTGCCTGGCTACCTGGTGCCTGCGGAGATCACAGTCCTACTGACGAAGGATGTGATAGAGCCAGTCCCTCCAGCCGATATGAAGACGGGGTTTTACAGCTCCTACTTCATTCTACCCAAGAAAGGCGGTGGGTTACGACCGATCTTGGACCTGCGTGTCTTGAAACGGGCCCTTCACCGGTTTCCGTTCAAGATATTGACGCAGAAACGCATCTTCGGGTGCATCTGTCCCCGAGATTGGTTTGCAGCGATCGACCTGGAGGACGCATACTTTTATGTGTTGATCCTTCCACACCACAGACCATTGCTGCGGTTCGCATTCGAAGGACGAGCATATTAGTACAAGGTCCTGACCTGTATCTTCACGAAAGTTGCAAAGGCAGCCCTTGTTCCCCTGAGAGAGCAGGGCATTCACATTCTCAACTACCTCGACGACTGGCTCATACTAGCTCCATCAAGAGGGTAGGGGACCTGCACACATTTTCGGTCGACGATTCATGCCTACACTCTAAAAAATGCTGGGTTAAAAAGGGATTTTCTTGGTATGGAGTTGGATTCGGTCGAGCACGCCTCATGCAGGGACGTGCTCAGTTGGTGTTGAACTGCCTGAATATGATCAAGAGCAGGACGGCGGTCCCACTGAAACAGTTTCAAAGGCTCCTGGGGCATATGGCAGCTACGGTGGCAGTCACGCCGCTGGGGCTGCTCCATATGAGACCGCTGCAGCAATGGCTCCATGGACGAGTCCCGAGGTGGGCGTGGCAACGTGGCACTTTCCGGGTCCAAGTTACACCGGCCTGCCGCCAAACCTTCACCCCGTGGTCAGACCTTGCGTTCCTCCGGGCAGGAGTGCCCCTGGAGCAGGTCTCCAGGCATGCTGTGGTTTGCACGGATGC